CATCAGAGTATCTAGCTGTGCTGGTCCTGCTAGTTCTAAGCATACCTGCGCTCTCTAGGATTATGAGATAGAATGGAGTTGTAAAAGTGCCCTAAGTTGGGAAGTGTTTGGAAGAAATTCTCAATGAACAGTAGCATGAAAAGAAGTATAGTTAGTCTGTTTCTCTCAAAATTTGAATCTCATGTTAGGAAATGTCATGGTTATGTTTTTGTTTTAATTTTAAGGTCAGTTCATTGAGTCCAGTGATGAAAGCTAGCAAAAGAATATGCTCCTGAAAACGATTTTTTCTTAGAAAAAAAAGAAAGGCAAATCACCACCCTCTCAGCACGCTGTGGCAGTCAAGCTCTGCAGAGAGGAAGATCCATTCGCCAGTCCAGTCACTCTCTGGGTCAGCGGGATTGTAGGTGAGATCGTTCTCACGTGCAGCTCCTGGAACAAAGACTCATCCACTTCCACGTTGTTTCTAGCATCCTCCAAGAACTGGCTATTAGTTGTGTCCTGATTATGATCTATTTCAAAAAGCTGTTTCCCGCCTCATTTTTTTCCCCTGCTGGTTCTTCTTTCATTCATTGCTTCTTAATTTCCAAGAGCACTGCCCCAAACCTGGCGTTCCAACTTAAGAAATTCTCAGTTGTAATAGGAGTGCTGTGAAATAATTGCTTTTTGGCTTCTTCTGCTTCTTGTCCTTTTTTTGTTTCTCCCCAGTATAAGGACATTCTCTCTGAGGGTCAGTGATTGTACTCAGAGTCAGAGAGAGGCATAAATGCTCTTCAGAGAAATAGCAATAATTTTAAAAATAGGGTGGAGTCCTGATTTGGCCACTGCTTTAGAGAGGTGGTTCTGTCAAGAACACAGGATGGACGGAAGGGAAAGGAACTAAGCAGGGGACCAAAGAGGAGACTACAGGAAAAGTCTGGACTAGAGGTAATCAGTCATGGCAGTGGAAGGAGAGAGGAGCGGCTGGTAGAAGAGACGTTGTGTAGGAAGGACCTCTACCCGTCTGTCCGATATAGGAGCCCCCAGCCATATGGGCCCATTTAAGGCTAATTTAAATTCGTTCAAGTTAAATAAGATTGAAAATCCAGTTCCTCAGTCGTGTTAGCCACATTTCAAGGGCTTGATAGCCACATGGGGCTATTGGACCAGACTATGTAGATAAAGAACATGGCAGAATGTTCCACTGGATGGTGCAGATTGTTACACTTTGGGGACTGACGGGGCACAGGGATGGGGAAGATTACAGGCAGCTGAGGCTTGGTGGCTGAGTAACTGAGAAAGATAGTGTCACGAGTAGAAGAGGCAAAATCAGAAGGATTTAGGAGGAAATATGTCATTTAGTTTCTGTCAAACACCAGGTAGGATAAAGTGTACACAAATGTATGGTGTCCTCAGTCAGTGGAGAAAAAAAAAAGGGCAGGTAAAATAAAGGCCCCAGTGGGCTATCCCAAGACTTATAAAGAGGCCCTGGCAGAGTCCAGTTGGCTTATCCCCTGCTGTGCTCCGTTTCTCTCCAGTTTGCATAGCTCCCTCAACCTCCCCCCAAACCAACAGCTCAAGTATGCTGTGACAGGGCAAGAGCCCGAGGGCCCTGCTGGTTCCTCAGTTCCATGGCTCCTCCCTGAACCCATTTTTCTCACAAATGCCTTCGCTTCCTCTTTCCCAACCACCTCACTCAACCTTCCCCATGCTTGATCCTTGGAAAGTCCCCTTTCCCCACTTATTCGACTGCTTCCTCCTGAACAATTCTTTCTCACAGGGACCACCAAACCACTGACCCCACCGCTTTTTTACTTGCCTCTCTTCCTTCCCAGCTGAGATTCCAAGGTCTGTTACTATAACCATTCCCTGGTGTACACTCCCTCACCCCCTCATTTACTTTCATCAGCAAACCCAGCCCGGATCAAATCCAACCCTCCTGCAGTCCCCCAGGCAATGGCATGTGGCTGAAGAAAACTACACAACCTTGCTGAATGGTCTCACTTTCAATATAGGACCGCCAACTCAATAGGGCCCTCAGCACTGTCCACACTATACTTCTCCAGTAACTCTTCCACCCTTCAGGGGAATTCTTGCTCACCTTCTTCTAGCTCCTTAAATAGCCAATAGCCCCTCCCCATTCACAGTTTTTCATTGCACAGAATAAAGGAAAGCACACAGCCCAGATCTATCTCCTCAGACCCAATGAGGTATCCGGCACATTCAGTACTCCGTGCAAACGGGGAAAACGTGCACGGTGTGTGTGTGTGTGTGTGTGTGTGTGTGTGTGTGTGTGTAGGAGGGTGGGGAGGATGGCTAAAAGGCACCACTCTTCCAGGTGGAGTAATTAGAAAAGGTGCCCCCCCCCCACTTCCTCCAGGCGGCCATGGCCTCACAGCTGGGTTGGCAGAACAGGGGCTGGATATTAGCTCCCACCTGTCCCCTTCTGCTCTGCAGTGGTCTGAGCATGCCACCACCAAATGGACTACCTGACCTACCTGCATTTGCATCCACAGACTTTGCCTTCTCCCCCCAAATAGTGTGTGAACATACTGTCCTTGCTCCTATCCAAGGCCACACCTTAACTTCCATGCTAGGTCTCATTGCTTCATATCTTCTTGAGGACAATCTTTCTGCACTTGTCTCCTCTTGTCTTCTGTTCCATCACATTTGCCTCTCTGAAGGATCGGTCCAGCACACCAACAAAGGAAAACATCTCCCATCTTAAAATACTCTCCCTTGATCCCAAATACTCCTGGGGCTACTACCCTTTTCTCGGTTACTCTTTATAGCAAAGCTCCTCAAGAGCTGTTTAGACTTGCTATAAACACTCTCTTTTCCGCACTTCCCATGCTCTGTTAACACACCCTAATCAGACTTTCTCCCCTACAACACCATTGAAACTGCTTTCATCAAGGACGTTGGTAACCTTCATCCGGCCAAATCCAGTGTTCAAACTCTGTCCTCAGCTTACTTGTTTCAGCAGTATTTGATAAGAGTGATGACTCCCACCTTCCAGAAACAATTCTCTTATCTTCCACCACTCACCCTTTCCTGGTATTCCTCTGATCTGACTGGTAGCTCCTCCTCCTCTTCTACTTAATCTCCAAGTGTTGGATTCCTCTTAGTCCTCTCCTCCAGCTACTCTCCCTAAATGCTTTTATGTAGATTTCAGGCGTAAAAAGCATCTACCTGCTGATGAATCCCAAATTTATATCCAACTGTTGTACTCAACGTTCCATGTGGATATATAACAAGCACCTTATGTAACATGTACAAAACAGAACTCCCGATTTCCCCCATCCCCAAATTTCTCCTGTTTGAGTCTTCCCCATCTTCTGAAATGGCACCACCATTAACCCATCCTTCAGGACCTGAACCTAAGAATCATCCATGATGTTTTTTCCTTCACACACTCTCTGCCAAATCCATGCCAATTCAAAATGTATCTGAATAGCCTTCTCACTCCTTTGTTGCCATCCTATTCCAAGTTACCACCACCAACATCCTTAGTGGTCTTCTTGTAGACATTTGTGCTTCCCTACTGTATTTTACACATTAATATGTGTAAAGAATATGTGCATGAATAACTTTTAAAAATGTGAATCAGATGTGGTCATTCCTCTGCTCACCCTCCCATGGCTTTCAGTTGCTCTTACAACAGCCCACAAGGCTCCACAGGATCTAATCCTTCCACACCTCTCTTCACACCTGCTCTCTGGCTAGCTGGTTCCATTCAGCCATACTGGCCTTTTGCTGTTCCTGCAACCTACCGGGTGTATTATTCTCACCTCTGAGTTTATGGCTGATTATCTTTCAGCTTGGAAAGGCTGTCCCTGCCAACCCCCTCCCCCCCCCCCAACACACACCCTAGGTATTTGCTAGGCTTATTCCTTCACATCATATGTATATGATAGGTACTCAAAGGTGTCCTCTGCGGGGCAGTATCTGGCCAGCTATAAAGTCACTCCATTCCTGGCTTTATTTTTCTTCACACTACTTATCATTACCTGACATTTTTGTTTACTTGTTTGTTGTCTGTCTCCTCTCTCCCACCCCACTAGAATTCAAGCTTCCCGAGGGGCCTTTGCTTGCCCTATGGTGTGATCCCCCTCCCCCCATCCCCCTCCCCCCGCCCCGCGCCTAGAACAGTGCCTGGCACTTACTAGGTGCTCAATTAGTACTTGTTGAATGATTGCATTCCCTCCAAAATTCTATTCCTCCTGAATCTTCGGACCCTTCCTCATTTCGTTTCCCGCCTTACGCAGCCTCCCACCCAGCCCTCCTCAAGGCCCCAATACCCCGCTCCTCCCACACGGTTCTCAGTTCCCACCACCCTCTCCTGCGCGGCTCCTTTAAGCGGACTCCGGAAAGCCGCGGGGAAGGTGGGACCGAAGCCTTGCTGACGCCGACTCGGAGGGGCGGGGCGGAGCTGGGGGCGGGGCCTGCGTGCTGCGTGCGTGCGCGTTCTGGAGGCGCCGCCGCCGCCGCCGCTGTCGAGGCCGCCGCCGCCGCCGCCGTCGCCGCCGCGCAGAGCCGGAGCAGGAGCCACGGCCGAGAAAAGGGAGGAGGTGGAGGAGGAGGTGGAGGAGGCGCCGGACCGGGGGGGTGAGTGAGGGGCGGGGAGCCCGAGTCGGCCCCAGAGGGAGCCGGGGGCGCGGGTCGGCCGAGCCGGGGCTGAGGCGGCTCGTGTCGCCGGTCAGTCCCCTGGCTCCCCCTTCCTCCTCCGCGTTCCCTCGGTGTCCGGGGCGGCGGCCCGGGGGCCTGGCCGGAGGGAGGGGCCGGGGCTCCGGGAGGCCCTGCCGCCGCCGCCAGGGCCAGAGCCAACCACGCCCGCGGACCGAGCCGGTCGACTGTGGCTGGGCCTGCGGGAGACGGACGGGAGGGGCCCGGGCCGGGTGTGGGAGAGAAAGAGGACATTGTGTCCCCCACCCTCCAACTGCTCGAGGTGTCATGGCACAAGCCCGTTTCCCTCGCCATCTCCTCGGACACAGTGCCCGAGAGATACAGAGGGTTAGACATCGTTGCCTTTTTTCTCTTCTTGCAGGTCCCCAGACTAGGGTCAGACCTTCCCTCAAACCCAGCTCTCCCCTTGGGGGTCACGCGAAGAGGGGGTTGGAGGGTTGGGTGAATTTTCTGCCCTCCTCCCTCGCTGGAGAAGGTGCAGGTAGACGGGAGCGTTGCCCTCTCTGCGTTCACTTCTGTCAGGGTCAGGGTCTCCCTTTCCTTCCTTTATCCCCCCAGTGCAGAGGGCTGACATCTCTGCATCCCACTCCACCTCCCAGCCCCTTTCCCGCCCTCTTTCACCCACGTCTTCCGCAGCTTGCCATGTGTACGCCTTTTCGGCGTTGCTCTTCGTGGGTCTGTGCTTCTTCCCTGAATTTTCTTAGGGAAGGGGTCACCGTGTGATTCTTGGCTTCCTTCAGACTGGGGCTGGTGGGAGTGTCGCTTGTCCCCTCAGGAAGTTAAGGACAGTGTCTTCAGCTGAATTGTGTAATTTACTGCTACAGGGAGAAGGTGAGGGGAAGACACTTGTGCCTGAAAAATGGAATCTTCTCTCAGGGCTAAGCACCAAGAGTTTGGGGGACCTTTTGACCTCTTGGGAAAAAGAACTAACGTTGAGTTACGTTATTCCTTTTTGGGAGGGAAGATGGTTTTGCCACTGCTTTGAAGGGAGGAGGGTATAAGAAAAAAGGGAATAACAGGGCAGGAGGTTAATGGGCCACAGCCTTACAGGTGGCCACAGTTTTCTGCTTCCTGGGTGTGGGATGATGATTCTTTCTGTTTTTATCACAGTAAGAGTAAAGTAGCAGCTCTTAGTTTTAACGTGGGGCGCCTACCTTCAAAAGCATGCTGCAGGGCAGTCTCAGAAGGGATGCTGCTGGAAACAGGATTTGGAAACTTTCTTATGGTTTCCTGTCAGTGTGTGGAGGCGGGCATGCGTGTGTGTGTGTGTGTGTGTGTGTGTGTAGTTTTTCTTTCCTTTTGATGTAATTGATATCTGCAGTATTTTGACATAATAGACACTAAATCAGGCCCTGAGCTCTTTTCTGTCTTTATTATGATTTCTTACAACACTTTCTGTTTTGAAGTTATATTTGCATTGGTTGAAATTATTTTTGCATTAGTTGAAATTATTTTTGCATTGGTTGAAATTATTTTTTAGTCTGGTGTTTAACTGAACTTTGTTTCCTTGGTATTTTCAATTATGTACTGCAAAATATGATTAGGTGTAGGATATTGAGGATCACACGGTGCCTGGCACAAGGTAGGCACTCGGTATTTTGTGGATGAATTGAATGATTACAAAGAAGCGGCTAGGTATTATATATCTTCTGTCCTTTTGAGAGGTGGCTTATATTAGAATATTGCACTTCCAGTATTAATTCTTAACCTTTTCTAGGCCACTGACACCTTTGAGATTATGATGAAATATATAGTCTCTCTCCCCAGGAAAAAAAAAAAAAAGTAATAGACTTTTATGCACAAAGTTTTGCATTCAGTTTCAGGTTCGCTCTGAAGCCAAGCATAGATACCTGTCTCAAAAACAAACTGGAATCCCTATTATTCAGTTCCATATTAAAACTGTTTAAAAGCCTTTGTTCACTTTCTATGTAGCCTCAGGAATGACCGTGCCAATACTTACAGGCTAAATTTTGGGTCTTTAGGAACAAGATTTAAGAATAATTGTTATTACAATTTTATGAGGAAAAGGTGTCACTAATAACTACTACCAGTTTTAAGCTAATACATTAATGGCTTCCAAGGAAGTAAGATTGTTGTAGTCACTTTTGGCAGCCTAAAATCATAATCACAACTGACTTATAATTTCTATTGTACTACTTAGTTATATGATCAACACTTGAAAATGTTCACAAATCAAACTATTCATTTTTCCTGTTCTCTTCTGAGCTTCTTTATATGCATGATTTTTCATGTAGTTAATAATTATTGTATCAACATTTAATATTAATTCAACAAATGCTTTTTGAATGCATATTCTGTGAATAAAATCAAGTTCTTGTTGTCATAGAGCTTATATTGTAATCAGGAGAGATGGGTCATAACCAAATAAATGTAGAATATGTTAGATGATAAAGTAGGGTGAGGGGAAAGAGAGAAGCAGTGGCAGGGAAGTCATGAGACTGGAGCAGAGACCTGAAGGAAGTGAGTTAGGTGTGCTCTCTTGGGGAAGGTTATAGGCAGAGAGGACTGCAAGTTCAAAGATCCCCTCGGTGTACTTGGCCTTTTGAGAAGACAGTAAGCAAGAGTGAGTGAGAGAGCTTTAGGTTAGAGAAGTAACTGAGCCTTGTAGGTCATGGTAAGAACTTGGAATTTTACTTTGAATGAGATGAGCAATCAACTATTGGAAGGTTTTAAGTAGAAGAATTTGTGAAAATCCTTCTGGCTGCTATGTGGGAATCAACTTGGTGGGGAGTTGAGGTGGGCAAGAGTGTAAGCAGGAAGACCAATTAGGAGGCTAATCTTTATTTTAAGCCTTTTTCGGAGGTTGCAAAATAGTCCATCTACCTGTTGTTGGGCATATAGGTAGTTTCGGTTTCCCCTTATTAAAATTAAGATGAACACTTTTGTATATGCAACATTTTCTTTCTTTTGGAATATTTTCTTGGGATTGATTTCCAGAGTAAGGACTGCTGAATCAAAGTATATGAATTTACTTGTCTTCTTGATGTATCTGTGAATTCCTTCAAATAGTATGTTGTACTAGTTAAAGTGATAGCCACAGTTGTTGATCTAGTGTTATGGCAATGTCACTTGCCTTGAGTATTATTTAATACTTGAAGAAATCATTTTGGTTATAAAAGAAAAATCTTCTAGATTGTTAGGTTGAATTTTCCAGTAGCTTGAATTTAGAGTTCGTATGTTAGTTCACCTCTCCAGCATTTAACAACAGAGTGCTAATTGTTGGGTATACAGAGATGAATTAGACAGGGTCTTTGTCCTCAGGAAGTTTTACATTCTGTCAGAATCTAATAGTTAAATAACTTAAAAGTCTTGCCCAAGTTTACTACCATCCATGAACTTTGTTATTATATGGCTGATGATCTGTTATATAAAATAGACATTCTAATCAAGCATCTAATTTTTCATATTGATAATTTCTTTTCTTTTTTTACAAAGGGATTTTTAAATGATACCTGCAATTTATTTAATTTCTGTTTTATGTCTTTAGAATCTTAAAACTGACAGCCCCGTGTTTTGTTCTTTGCAATAAATTATGCAGCTAGTTGAATTTTTAGATTGTTGTAATTCTTTATAGTTATTCAAAACACAGGGACTATTGTTTTGTTAAATAAGGTTAGCTTTGCATCGTTGACATTTTATTTAGTTTATAAGGGAGAACGATACCAGTCTGTTTTGATAGGAATTATACCACTGTGAGGGCATTGCTCAGCATTTCTAGTTCTGAAATCTAGATGGCTTGATTTGGCATGAGCAGGGAACTCCACCATCTCTAAAGTGAGTGAGTTGAATAATTGAGTTACCTGCAAACACCTAGCACTGTGGCTGACACATGCTAGGGATCCAGCTGATGTTCATTGAACCTCAAATAACCTCTAAGTTTCCAGTTCTAAAATTCTCTTATTTTAGTTCAGTCAAAAAATTTGTATAAAGCATTTATATATTAATTTTGTGGTGAATTTAGAATTGTGAACATCATCTTACCTCCTCCTGATGTTCCTTTTCAGATTAAACTAATTAATTTTAAAAAGAGTTATGGCGTATTTCCAAGTATTTTCTGTTCATTCTGGTGTCATATATTGCTGCATGACTTAATGCCAAATTCACATCTTTTGGAAGTGATTAGTGTTAAACATAAATATGTTTAAGCTTTCTTATGTTACTGAGATGAAGCATTCACTTCCCCCCACCCCCTTTTTCTGTTCGTGAAATTTCGGGATTACAAGTGGTAGTTTTTATGTACTTTTCAGTCTTTCATGTACATGTACGTGTACTGTCCCATTCAGATTATGAATTTTTGTAATAGTGATTATGGACACTGAATGATTCACACACTCTTTACAGTCCCCTTCTCACAGTTTTGAGATGAATGTTAAGAGTCCAGTTTGTTTCAAAGTTAAATGATCCAGAAGAGTACTGAACCTATAAGCTTAGTTTATGATGTACTGATCAGCAAAGCAGTTCAACAGAGAACTATGCCATGCTCTCGTTTGCACTTGAAAATAGGCCTTTTAGACGTAGAAGGTACATGCGTGCACCAGTAAGAAAAGGAAATTGTGTGTGATGATTAAGGTGGAGTTGAAACAAAAAATAGTGTACTTTTATAAGTGGTCTAAAAATACTGGTTTTAATATGATTTTCAGAAATATATGATATGCATAGGGAGGATTAAATGTGTTTTATGAAATTAACTTCAATCAGTAGACAAATTAATGGCTTTTTTTTTAAAGGTACTGATGTCTTATTTATTTAGGCTAATTCCAGATAAATCTGGAAAAAACATTTCTTTGCATACCCAGTTTTCTATTTCTAGCCTATGTATGTAGTTCACATTGCTACAGATTGGTTCAAAGTGTGGAATGATAAAGTTAACTAAATTTGGAATTAAATATGTAACCCTGTGTTTGGTTTTAGAATATATTTAAGTTAGTCCATATTTCATAAGAATAGGAATATACTAAACTATACATTGTAACTGGTAAAAGATACTGTTGGATTAATCAAAGCTTGAAGTAAGTTACTTTGAACTCGTAAGTATATGTACCTGTAACATTCCATGGTTGTTTACAGTGCTATGTTACACACATTTATTCTGGTTGTAAGAAATAACTTTGCTCAGGATAGAACTCTGGTTTCGTTATCAACCACAAAAGTGTAAAAGTAAGAGAGGCACAAAGAACTGGGTGCAGTTGTTTTTTGGACAAATCCCAAATGCAGCTTGTAAGATTCTAAGTTAGTAGTAGGAAATTATCTCCTGTTGCAGACTGAACATTTCATATCAGTCCGATGTGTAATCTGAAGAGTAAATTCATTCACTGTATTTTCAATGATATTTAAAAATTCATTTATAAACAGGATCATTCTGTTATAGACAAGTTGGCTGTATTATAAAACATTAAGCAAGCAGCCATAACTTAATTGTTTTAGCAGTTGAAATTTAGACCGATCTTTGGAGTTTATGTAGTTTTCAGTATCTAGTCCAAATCTTTGATGTCTTTTGATCTACCTTTTCCATTCCATTGAATGCATGTAAAAATGTTGCATGATTTTATTAATAGATTTCAGATTCAGTCATTGAACAGATGTTTGCATGACCCAATATTGGGTTCTTTGATGGAAACGGAGATGTGAGACTGTAGCTTCTATTTTAAGGAATTTATAGTCTAGTAATTTATTTTGTTTGCCAGAACCTGACATATGTTTTATAAATAAATGTTGGATTTTCATGGTAGAGTGGAAATAGAATGATACTCATTTTCTAAGTAAGATCAGTGTAATACTTTAAATTTTCTCCTAGTTGCTCAACAACTATT